ATTTTTCAACAATCAAAAAAGGCGTTCCCCAGGGTTCGATTCTCGGCCCTTTACTTTACCTAATTTACACCAATGAGGTTGCTGACATCCTAAATAATGAGGTCGTACTCTTTGCTGATGACACTACAGTCATCTGCTGCGAAAAAACCAAAGAGGCTTGCAAACAAAATGTCCAAGAATCAGTTTTGATACTTCAAAATTGGTTCACTGATAATAACCTTCAACTGAATGTAGAAAAGACCCAAATTATAAATTTTAACTTAAGACCTGACAAGACAAACATAGACTACAATGGCACTACACTATCAACTAAAGATAATGTGACATTTCTGGGGATGGTGCTGGATGAAAGACTAGACTGGCATGCTCACATCGACCAACTAGCAGAGAGTATGAGTAGGTACTGCTATGCACTGCGAGTGGTCAGGGACATGGCAGGGTGCTCGGCTGCACTGACAGCTTGCCATGCCTATGTGCAATCGAGAGTGAGGTATGGGGTGATCTTCTGGGGCGGAGTGGCGGAGGCAGAGAGAGTTCTCCTGCTTCAGAAAAGATGCCTGAGAACAATATTCCAGAAAAAAAATACAGACAGCTGTAAAAATCTCTTTGTTGATAATAACTTTCCGACAATTTTTAACTTGTACATTACAGAGAGTATCAAATTTATATCAGAAAATCCAGATATCTTTGACAAACTAAAATCTAATCATTGTCATGGTACTAGATTCAAAGACAATCTTAGAACTGAAACTGCTCACTTTACATACATTCTTAAAAATGTTAAACACAACATTCTCAAAGTCTGGAATGTTTTGCCTCCCTCACTCCGTATGCTACCATCAAGAGTTATCAACTGCAAAATTAAAACATTTCTGAGCTCAAAAGCCTATTACAGTCTGAACGATTTTTTTACTGATCAAGAAGTGAAAGATTTGAGTTAGATTTTTGTTTTTTTTTTTTTTAATTGTTTTCTTTCTAGCAAAGCATAAAATTTTACTAATTGCCTAGATAAACATGGCACTCCCTGTGCTGACCCTGGAAGTGGTCGGAATAACCAGACTCTAATTATTTGTTCGTGAGGTGTACTTGTTTGTTTTTTTTACTTAAATGTTTTTTTTTATCTTAGATGTATGTGTTTATTTATTTTTTTTTTGTACTAAATATTTTTTAAGATTTAAGTACAATTTTTTTTTATTGTATATTGTAAATAATGACATGATCAACACCCTCTGGGTAAAATGTTCTCTACCAATTTGTAATTGTAATTGTAAACATATTGATCGAATAAAGAAATCTATCTATCTATCTATCTATGAAAAATATAATGCTTGTCAATCTAGATCTGTGCACTGCTGCACCGTTGGAATTGCAGATTTTACTTGCCAAAGTTGGTAAGCACTGTAAGAAGATTGATCTGACCACCATTCTGGAGATTGACATCCCAAAATATAATGGTTAAATACCAATGGATAAAACATCTAGTTCAACTAATGCCAATAACATGTCGCTGATTTTCAAGGACAGCAAGTTGATGTTTCTCTCAAAATGTGCGTTTCCAATGCTGTATCCACGTGTATCTATGATGTCTTTCCTGCGACCGAATCTTGGTTTTTGGACTAAACCCCAATTTCATTCCTGCCATACAAGAGTCCTGTTCCCTGTATCAGGCCTAATAGCCATTGGGTTCCAGGCGGTAGTCTATTCCGAGTCTGTACTGCTCCGGAGAATAGGGCCATATAATTCTCTTCCTCGCCTTATAGTCTGCATTCAGTGATTCCATTGAATATCCCCATGCTGTGCTGATGTTTCCTCAAGTGAAAGTGTCCTGTTAATAGCCCTATCACTTGTCTCATTTTTGTCCGCGTAAGTCGTACCACGTCAGTTGTTAATTTCGTTGAAGGGTTTCTTGTTACATTCCTTGGGTGATTTTGTCCAGGTGTTGTATTCGAACGGGCCAAATGTTTTCTTTTCGACCATTTATCCAGTGTTGTCTTTACCACTTGGATTCCAAAACTGGGCCTGGGGCCTATAAATGGCGTTGCAGCTCCAGCTCTCGTGCTCTCGCCAGACCATCTGCTCTTTCCCTGAGTGGCCAGGAACCCATAGGAGTCGAACCTTGTTTTCGTTAGCAAGCTGCTTCAAGTCAGTGAGGCACTCCATCGTCATTCGTAATTCGGAAAGTGATGCGATAGGAATCCAGCGCTTTTAGTGCTGCTTGGTTATCCGTGAGAATAGCTACATTTTGGTTTTAACACCCTCGCGTAAGGCTCTGTTGGATGCACGCATGTATAGGAAAAACTTCTGCTTGATATACAGGGTGTACGAAAAGTAACGGGACGGTCAATCGACACTGTTGCCAAGCTCTCCAATTTTTCTGAAGGAACACAATCTTTTTTATTTTAAATGAAACACTCCACTTATTTTAACATGCATCGATTGCTCTTGTCCTACTATTGATTTCATTCGCCTGTCATCCCGTTTTCACTAAATCAAACAAGATAAATCGATTGAGATAAAAACAAATGAAGTATTACATTTTAATTAAGAAAGATTGTGTGTCTTCAGACAAATTTGTAAGTCTAGCAACAACGTTTTTGAATTCGGCTTTTCAAGTAACGTCCAAATATGAGATTTTGTTCAAATTGCACGACTGGTTTTAGAGATAATTGATCGTCCCGTTACTTTTCGTACACTCTGACAATAGTGGTTTAATTTCCCAGTGATATGCTGACATTCATGTTGGGTCGTTCCTCGTTCCCCATATATCTCTGCTCCCATTCGCACTTGATCCCATACGGTCTTTCAAAGTTTTAGGTCGGCGTCATGTGATCCGATCTCATTTTCAATAGTTCGCTGTTCGTGACATTTGTCACTATTGTATGTCGGTATTTGCTCGGCTGTGTCTTCCAGGTTCCTGCCGTTTCCATTCTGTAGGCCGTGATGCTTGCCCCTTTTTGTAATCACGATATCTAAGCGCTCTATTTTCATTGCCGCCATAGAATAGGAATACTACCCATGGTTCCTGACATGCACAAGCTAGCCAGTCTCTGTAGACGGTTAAGTTTTATGATCGTCATTTTTTTATCAGGCCTTTGCCACCATACGGCAGCCCCGTTTGTTTCTCATGGGTCTGATAACTGTGATGTATAGCTAGTACATCTCTGGCTAGTACACCATCTTTGGTTGCAGGCCCCAGGTTTTGCCAAACATGTGCCTACATCTCATGAGGCACATGCTTTGTTTATAATCTTTTTGATTTGTTGGTTCCATGGTAATTTAAATTTAGCGTCTAGGATTAGGCCCAAATATACACTCCATTAACAGTTCCTATACGATCTTCAAGCTGTTATAGGTTCCCTAATCGCATTTTGGTGAATGGTAGACCTTTTACTGATTTGTGACAATGTGCCACTCATATCGACCTATTAAAGTTGTAAGCTCACTCTTAATTACATCACAAAGATGTGTTCCTTTCTTAGAAAGAATGATTCAATTAGGAATAATTATGAATCCTATATCCATCATTTGCAATTGATCTTCTTGGAATCAATGTACATTACGCTTCTACCTATATCTAGTAACTGGTAACTACCTATACATATATAAGCTAATGAAACTATACGATTCGCTTGAAAGGGATCGAAGATAGGATTCATAAATCTATACCTTATACAAAACAAAAAGTCCAAAATTAAAGTGTCGGTGCTTATCTATGCGTTCTACTATTTTTAAAAACTACTCGACTGTGCTTGTTGGAATCACTGATTCAATGTAGGTTGTCAGATATTAGCTGAACAACCCACATAAATCCTTTCAAAAATCTAGCATTTTCAACATCAAACCCCCATTGTCTTGATTACAAGAATACAAGACACCTTCCAGTCTCTCGCAACCGATTAAGTTACTCAGTTAGCCTAACTATGTGTGTCGTTCGTTGCATAAACTCCTTCATTAGATACCAGTTTCTAAATATACATCAACATCATTATCATTATCTTCCATAATTTATTATGAATGCGAATGCATTATCGCGCCTCGTCTACCCACGTTAGTCAAACACCTGTATTTAACCAATCGGCTGGTAAATGGTTAATGTTAATTGAAGTGAGAGTATATACTGGCACGGTACTACCAAATAGTCATTAATAATTTTTTATTGGTTTTTCTAGTATGTAATCGGTTTGGCAAGCTTTTTTCAAGGCGAAAAGCTAACACTACTAGTATTGTTTTCAAATTATGGCTTTACATAATGTGAAAATTGTTCTAAAAATGAATGAATGAGTTATGTGTTACCAGATTAAAAAATAAAATCAGTCGTGCGAAGGTGACATCAAAATAAATTAAAAATTGTATGTTCACTGTTTATGAAGTGCCTATTCCAAACTTGGGTAATAACAATTGTATGCCTACAAATACCTAATCCGGTCCTGAGTCTAACGACATCGTACATTTTACACACATAGACACAGATTCGTTATGAAAGACCGTTAATTATTGTTGAATTTTCTGTCAATACAATTTTATATTAAGACCAACCAACTTTGAATTTAACGATGAATGGCAGAGCCACTGGGTTTGAGAAATCCTGCAATAAACCGATTGTGACACCCGTTTGCCTATTTAAATATGATATTTTGATTTTATAGTTGAGAAGTAGGTGTTAAAATCTACTTATGATATGTACATACCTTTTATGTGTGTGTGGTTAAATTTGTTTAAACATATTTTGGATGATTTGAAATCATAAAGGCATTTTCTCAAATAAACATGTAGGTACAAAAACGAGTTGATGAAATAGAGGTTCTGATATAATAATTTAAAAATGGCGAAAAAAGGCCGGATGGATACTTTACAGTTTATGGAAAGTGAAAAACCAGATAACTTTTTGTTGCCTTCCGAGAAATTATTAGTTTTTTTTCCAAACAATATCCAAAATAATTTAAAATTTTTAATAAATAAAAGCTTGAAGGGGTGTTCCTCACTATCTAATTTCGTTCCAGAGTCCCATTCTATAATTGAAGACGATTTTCCAGAAGAAATCGTACAACGACAACACATCATCAGAAAAAAACGCAATGCACGTTCCGAAGACGACGTCATTTATGACTACATTAAACATGAAAATATAAGTCCTCAGGAACTTTTCAGGAGCACCAGAGATACTGACTGGACCAGTAGTGGGTATGAAAATAAATATGATTTTTAAGAAACCCTTATCAAAATTAAATTATTTTATTTATAACAACCGTTTCAATTCCAGATACGTTAAAAGAAGTAACGAGTTTTTCATTAAAGTCCTCGTAGTGGCTGACAGTACCATGCTGAGGTACCATAAGACGCACGAAGAGTTGACCAAGTATATACTCATATTAATGTCCCATGTATGTATTTTTATTGCTGGATTTCAAAAAAATTAAAAATACCATTTCAGGTTGGTCTTTTGTTTAAAGAATCCTCAATAGGTAACGCTATAAATGTAGCCGTCGTTCACATTAGAATTTTAGATAATCCTGAAGAGGATTTTTCCAATTCCCTATCAACGGATATGCTGAGGAAATTTTGTCTGTGGAAAAGGCAATACATTTCCGATAAATCTCACGATGTTGCGTTGCTATTAACCAGGTCAGTACTTATATAAATCCAGCGTTGACATTTTTAAATTTTTATATTTCCAGGAGTACAATTTGCAAAAATCAAACTTCCTGTGCTACTCTAGGGGTTGCTGAAGTTGATTCCATGTGCCAGCCTTCAGGATGTACTATAGTGAGAGATAAAGGTTTATCTACGTCTTATACTATAGCTCACGAGTTTGGACATACTTTGAGGTATGCTTTTACATTTTGATCACTTTTATTTATTAACTTCGAGTAAGAATTCTTCTGAAGAATTTCTTGTAGGTATAGATTTGTTGAGAATAATGCAAAATTATTGAAGGCAGGGAATAACAAATCTCAAATATCCATCAAAATATGGAAATTCTTCCAACTTTATTTATATTATAATCTGACGATTTTCTTCTTCACTATGAAAATTGGAAATATGTAATCCGTCTCTTTCTCTTTCTCACGCTATTTATTTTCAAGATCTTTTGTGAATACTTATGTGGTATCTTCATCAGACTTTTGTCAATCCTTAATAGCCTAGGAAAATTTCTTCTTCTGCTTTGAATGAAAATTTTCCTTTAGTTGGCCTTCTACTTTATCTTGATATTTCATATTATACGGAATCAAGCGTCTTTAAAATTGTATCTATCCTTGTCAGATCCTCACAAACTTTGTCCTAACTAAATGTTTTTTTTTTCTAGTATGGTTCATGACGACGATAATAAATGCCTGCACCACAATTCGAGAACTCTTCACACGAATCACATTATGAGTAGGACAACTAAGAATGATTCGAAGCCATTTATGTGGTCTCCGTGTTCCAAGCAATATGTTACGGATTTTTTGGAGTAAGAATTTTTTTAATGCAACTTGCGCAAATACGGAAATGTTCTGTATCACTTAGAACTCCAACAAAAAACTTCGATGTTATTTAATTCTATAGAAATTTGTGATTTACCTACATGATGAAAATGTTAATAACTATTGAAGATTTTCCGTCGAAGTAAATTAGATCTTGTCCCACTTTTAATTCTTTGTATATGTGACTGTGAGACTCAAGCCCAAACCAATTATAATTTTTTTGTGTCATTATTAAATAAGACTGTCAAGCAATAGTAATAACAATAAAATTTTATATTTTCTAATTGCTCACAATGAGATCAGCACGACAATAATGTATTAACTTTTTTCTACTCATTGGATTTTTAGCCTATATTTTCAATGTCCACTGACACACTCATAATATAATTCCAGATTGCAACATTTTAAATTTCTCTTCAAGAAACAAGGATTTTCGTTCGTTCTTTCGCGACAAATCGATCCATCAATCAATCAATCAAGAAAAAGTGGGTTACTACGCCGCGTACGTTCCATCCGAAAACCTTGCACCTGTATTTTCATCAGCTTCTTATTAGGTATGCGGCTTAATGAAAACGATTCTTACTAGGAAACGATTTCCTTGTTATTTTCACACCGTGTTTGGTTTTATGGTATTTTAAATCGCTCGGTCGTTTCGATTTTTATTGACGATTCTATGCAATTTCTTCGATTTCATTACTGACGACCATAAGATTTAATAGTCAAGGCCTAGAAGGAAACTCATAATTTCAAATTAAAAAAAAAAAATCCTCATCAAATATTTCTGATTGCCTGTGTAATTTTGTTTATAGAATATTGTTATTGGAAAAGTCTAAAATCCGATTAAGGTACACTATAGTTTAGGTTACGATCCACACGTGATACAAAGTACGGTCAAATATTGTTGTATATACTTGAAACAGCAGTATCTATGGCAGGGTTTACCCAATAAGGTCTCAGATGCTACTAACAGTCAGCAAGTACTTAAGTAGGAACTTTTTGAGAAAAACCTCTAGATTATTTGAAATTGAAATTGCCAGTTCGCGAATGAGTAGGAAATGCCCCATGAAGACCAAATAACAAATACAGAGTATTGGTTACAATAATACTCAAATGTGTCATTATCAATAGGAAAAGCCATCTTACTGACATGCGAAATGGTCAATTATTACATCGATACTCCCAAGATAATTTATGGATTTGGAAATTGTTTTGACAGTGTTTACTCCACAGTTTCAGTTCGGACAAAGTTTTTTTTTCAGTTCTTGATTCAGTCAAATCCAATCTCACAAACAAATGATACCATTAAAACTACCATTAGTTCTAGTAAGTCTCTGTGGAGAACAATAAGTCAGCTGGTACTGACTACTGACGGCATTCCTGCTGATGAATTCTTCAACAAGGAGGCCCAACACTGAGTGCCCAAAACCACAACCTAATAAGTAAAATATGGATTACCGAGACCATACCTGCCGAACGTAGAGATGCCTCCATAGCCATTTTTAAGAAGGGAGACAACGCTCAATGTGAAAAATACAGAGGAATCTATTCACTTTCTGATGCCGGAAAGATACTTGCCAGGATATTCTGAAATCGTCTAATCTCAACTGCCAAAAGAACCTCCCAGAGACCAAACCAAGGAACAGATAATATGATTTTCAGTGCAAGAAAAATGCAAGAGAAATTCAGCGAGCAAAATCGCCCACTATACATGGCCTTCATAGATTTAGTAAAAGCATTTCATTCGGTCAACAGAGAAGCACTTTGGAAGATATTAGCAAAGGTTGAGTGTCTGCTGCATGATAATATAAATGCAACCGTCCTAAGCAACGATTATTGCACCCACTTTATTTTCTCTATAGGATCCTCCAGGATTGGAAACCCTGTACAGACTTGATGGCAGCTTATTCAACTCAAACAGATAACGAGCCAAGACGAGTATTGACGACATCGATAATTGAACTTCAATGTGCGGATGATAACGTCGTGATGGCCAATATGGAGGAAGATCTTCAGGCAATTATCAATAATGCACTAGACATATAGGACTAGGAGAATCGGCCTAGAGGTCAACTTACAAAAGAAAACGTACCTACTACTAAACAGAACAGAAATTACTTATTTTAATATAGCATATATTTACTACGCCCTGTTCTATCTTCCCCTTTATAAAATAATGCTTTATATCTAAATGTTCAATGCGTCTGTTATTTTCAGGATTATTCGCTATCTTTATGCAAGACTTATTGTCTTCGAATATATGTATTTATAGGGACACTTAAACTAAATAGCTTAAAATCTAATAAAACTTTCTGCAACCAACAAGACTTCCTATTAACAACATCCTCATCCCGCAATCTGAATCTACAAAGCCATAAAGAGTTAGGTTAGGTTTAAAATGAGTGGGCCGATTAACCAGCCCTCCACTGCGACCCTCGCTGGGTCTATTGTGGCTCATATACCTCTAACGATCATTAGATGGTTATAGTGTGTCGTACAAGCCACAGCTCTTGATAAAGTCTATGGTTGTAAACAGCAAGACTTGCCTGAAGTCGTTTGGCTCTAGCTAGGCGTATCCGAAGATCACCAGCCTTTTCCTCTCCAGTGCTGGCAGGCACATAGGATATGCTCTGCTGTTTCGTCTTCCACGCAGCAAAAGCGGCAGTCCGGAGAACTGCACAGACCAATCTTGTTTAAGTGGTAGTTGAGACGACAGTGGCCGGTTAGCAGTCCGGTGAGAATGCGCAGGTCTTTTCTACTCCATTCCAGGATCTGCATTGTATAGTTTCTAGAGGGTTCCCTTATAAACGCCTTTGAGTGGATAAAACCATCAGCGCTACTCCAGTGAGATCGGGACTCGCCCTTTACCCAGCTGGAAATAGTATCCTTAGTATTTGATTTTGTGAAGCCAAGAACCTGTTCCGGTCTTATGAAGCCGGCTTCCGCTCCCTTTTTTGCGAGGGCGTCGGCTTTTTCGTTGCCTGTCATCCCCTGATGCCCTGGCGGGGAGTAAAGTTACCCTGCTGTTTGTGCCTAGCAATGTAAGGGACTGGATGCAGTTCCTCACCAGTTTTGAGGTAATCCGGTAGGAGCCCAGGGCTTTTAGCGCCGCCTGGCTATCTGACACAATATATACGTTTTTGTTTGTGGTGGAGCGATCAATTAGCTCCCTGGCACATAGAACAAGGGCAGAAACTTCTGCCTGGTATATAGAAGCATATATCACGAGGTTGGTTGAGAATTCTGCTGCTGAAGACTCCAGCTCTAACACCATTAGGGTTTGTGGAGCGATCCGTGTATAAGACAATGCTTGCCTCTGAAAAGGAGATTTTACCCTCGTCCCATTCGTCTCTCTCCGGGAAAAGGAGTTTATAAGGCTTGTGCATGCTTATTAGCGTATGAATGGAGTATGAGATCATGTTCAGGATGTGGCAGACCCACGTGATCACAGACCCTTTCACCATTTAAACTACAAAGGGTACTATTATTATCAGTATTAAATCTTAACTTTAAAAATAACGTTCCTCCAACACTTAGAGAAACAAATAAATTTTCATTAGCTTTCTCCTGAACACTGAAATACTGTGACACAAATTAGGTCTTGTACCTAACACTACATACACAAGACTTCTTTGATGTTGAACTTAGAGTTGAACATATTTTTCAGGTTCACTACTGTGACGGAACTAGCTATTGCCCTTTTTTGGGCTTTAGTCAAACCGCACCAGGGATGCCAAAAGTTTTCACTTTGACTGACTGTAAAAATTAACCATTAGGTATTGGATCAAGTCTTGTATTGGGTTAGGGGTGCCTTGATTCTCATTTACACAAATAAAACGCTGAAATAGAATAGTTATCAATTTAATTAATAAACGAAAGTAATTCGGTATAGTCAGCAATCAAATTCTATCTAAAGACTCCTAATTGGACGTCCAGTCGAACTACTAATTTTATACTAATCTAAAGTAAATGAGTATCTTAATTTATAAAAAGTGGGGAAATCTGATAATGATAATAATATCATTTATTGTTAAATGTTCAATGAACGAGAACACAAATTATCTAATTAAATGCACGAGAGCACAACATAAATAATTCGTCAACTTCAATCAGTTCACTGTAATCACAAAATGTTTATTGATTCTTGAAAGTTCTTTTAATTATTGAGAGTTTACAATTTGAGCACTTTTCTGCGGAAGTCTGTAAACAATATGTGCAAGAAAAGTCTTTATATATGCTCAGTTTCTATATACAAATGTACAAATGTTAATTTCACGAGTGTGAAAACCAAATTTCTGCATTAAACGTTAGAAAACACTTCAATTTATAGTGCATTTCAAGGGAATCAGTAATCAGTATTTATTGTTCGACTGTTAAAAAAATTGTAACGGTCTTACTTGCTTAATCCGTTTCATGCAGATAAATCCACAAGGCGATTATTTATCCATTTATCACCACTATTCACACTGGCAGCTAGGGAATTTTTCCCTGAGATGAACAGAAAACACAACGACATACAGGTGCGTTGGAGCCCGTCGAGAGTTAGAGAGAGCAAAAAGGCAATCGCGTAGGAGAGAATTTTGCTCGTCCGAGGTGACTTGCAATAATTAGGGGTTAATTACATGAATTGTAATCAATAATTTAGACCATGTCAGGCCTTGATACACAGAGAGTAGTATTTGACTATAAATCGCGCGTACTAACGGGGGTTTTGGGGGTTTTTCCTCTGGAGAGCATTCAGAAGGCGCGAGGGTGCGAACTATTTGCTTATTCTGATAGTACTGAAGAATGTGCGTTGACTAGACTCTGCCAGGGGAGCAGGTCGCAAAAATCTAGAAAACAATGTGTCGGCTGACCAATCACAGCAGCGAGAAAGGTCCACTGCCTTATAAGGTAATGAAGAAACCTGTAATTTTATTGGTTCAAAGGGTTGCTGTTGCCGGTTTCACAGGATAAATAGTCCAGCAATAGCATCTTTTTTTTGAATATT